GTTTAGGATAAAAGCTTGTGTTTAAAATGTAATATTTTCTAACTTAGATTTTATTTTATTTTTATATTTTAGGAATTTTGAAAAAAAAAAACATGGGACATTTTGGTTTAAACTGATTTGAATTTGTTTAAAAGAAATGCTGAAACAGATATATTTAATTTRACCTCACTTTTAGTGAAACAGACTGTGGGATGCGACTAGGGTCAGGCAGTACTGGACCAAAAAAAAAAGATCGCTTATAGCATTTAATCAATAACAAAAAGACAGTTAATTGATGACAATGGGACTTGCATGTAGTAGTAGTAGTAGTAGTAGTAGTAGTAGTAATAATAATAATAATAATTCATTTTATTCATAGAGCACCTTTCAGGACACCCAAGGACGCTGTACAATAGAAAAGAAACAACTGTAAGTACATAGTGATAGGGTAGTGCGGCAGAAACATAGAAATGTGGAGTACGTAACAGTCATGTAAAGAAATACAAAAAATAGATAAGTTGAAAAATAGGGTTGTGMGGGAGAAACAGAAATGAGGACTACAAAACAGTCAAATCTTGTGTAATGCAATGTAGCTGATGTTGCGACCTCGTTCTGCATTTTCTGGCTTTCCTCTGYTTTATATAMGTGTTTTCAAGTGGTTAAACAAGTTTGTCGGGTCAAGGTTAGCGTTAGCTGCCGCATGTCAYCTTTTGCCATTTTGCTCACATGCAGGTCTTATAGTGATACTGTGTAACACCCAAGTACACGTCGTCATCACGTTGCTGTAACTGCGGTAATTACAAATGGCTAAAATTTAGGGGTGCAACAATAAATCGGCTGGCCAAGTTCCTTTAACTTTGGGACTCAGATCAGCCGATAGATAAGGTCGGTGGAAAAGATCAGCTTCTCGTCTACCWCCCCTAAGGTCTGAACATAGCCCTTTTGCTCTGCTGTGAGCACTACCTAATGTTCAAAATTTGTATTGTTTTAAGCTCAAAGTTTTTCAATAAAATTAAATTGCAACATTGAAGGCGTACTGTGGCCTCATAACACCCGACAAGTGTCAATTTAAAAACAAAGAAACAAACAAACAAAAAACGGCATAGGCCCAAACTAAAATTGACAGGTCAGACWTTTTACACTGCATGAAAAGTGAGATTTTCGTCCCTGTAAACTGCCATGAATTTCGCTAATTTGCGGCAATTATCGGCAATTTACAGCTCCTCGCGTTCGCATTCTCCTGTGCCGAAAACTGCCGAAAACGTACCCCTAGAGGCAGCGGGGAGTGGGGACCGCCGAGTACTCGGCCACCGGAGGTGTGAATGACTCTAATTACTCAATCTTTAACTAAAGATTGCTGATTGGCCAGAAAGCTGAGTTTGGTGCACTCCTTGTAATACTAATTGTTACCATTTTTTTCTGACGATTAATTGCACACTATACGATTTTTGCCCAAACCTAGATGTTACACAGGTGTATAAAATGGTAAATCATTTTCAACTTATCTTCACAAAAAGCCCATTTCACAGCAGACATTTTGTTTTGGGAGTCAGGAGGGCACAGGTGTATTAACGAGAGGCTCGTTCCCCTTCAGCAGATGCTGGTCGTCCTGTAAAAGTTCACGTGCAGAACGTCTTCTAAACTGAAGCCTCTCTAATATACCTGTGTCCTCTTAACTCAAGTTCAAACGTCAGCAGGGAAATGGGCCTTTAGAGGATTTTCCTTTTTTTTATTCCATTATGTGAGTATGATTCAGTTTTCACTTTCAAGTATATGAAAAACTCCAGTGGTCAGCTTTTTGTGAGGAAAATCATCTCAAACTTATTCCTTCTGCCTTGCGATTACATATATTTTTTTCTCTACCCAGTATGCATGTGAATGCATGGGTATAATTTAATCTAGTTTTCATACAAGCCAAGGTCTCTTGAGAAAGAGGAGACTTGAAAACACATGGCAACTGTAAAGTCATTGSAGCTAGCAGCTGGGCAGACACATTTAGTAATCACAAGGGTAATGAGTGGGGGTAACTGCTGCTGTGACTCATGTTAGCCCAGTTGAGTGAGTGTGTTTAACAGCCCTGAAGCTGTACACGTTAAGGGTGAGACTGGATTCGAAAARGTCCTGCGAGTGTTTTGCCTCTGCCACGCCTTTGTTCTCCCAGATAATTTTGATCAACAAGCGAGTCGGCCCTGTAAACCCAGCAATTCCTTTCAGCGTGATCCTCCATGACTCACTTCAGCTCTCCTCCCTCACAAAGACGGYCAGCTCCAGACATGGCGACTGGCGTCTAGTTATTCCCGTGCTGACACGGTGAGACGGGTACTTAAAGACTGACACTGTGTCGGTGTGCGTCTGCACCACTGTCATCTCCACCAGCTGGGTCATGTCTGGGCTGGACGGCGCTTCGGGTCAAGCCTCTTAAGCACGCGAGTGGATGAAGTCTGAGCGCTGACCTGGCTCGCTCAAAGTGAACAAACAGATTAATCGAGCAGAAGGGAAAGAAAAAATACATGCGTGTTACTTCAAACACTTTTTGTCCCAAAGTGTAACCCAAGTCAACTTCAAGCAGAGTCACTGCACACGCCCTCTAGAAGTAACTTTTGCTTGCGTTAACTCACGCTTTGGCAACAAAAGTGAGGTGTTTTTTTTTCTGCCTGATCCATGTGAAGCGAGTTTGAAACACACCCTGGCAGGTAAGGCAATAGAAGGGTGTGGCTCATCTGTATCGGCGCTCAGGACAGCTCACATTTTCCCATGCAGCACCACTCCCTGACTATCAACACGGCTTGGAAAACAGTGGTTGTCAGTTTCTGAAATGACTGTCGAAGGCCAAACTAGTTGTTCACTGGATTAAGTGGGATAACAATCGAAGTTTAACTTCTACACTCTGATCTTTTGGTCACTGAATAAATCTTGGTTCGAGTCATTTCGATTCTGGTTGAAACATTGTCTCTTCATTAACAAGAACGACACTCTGATAAGAGAACTACAGTTGCACTCATGTGGGAGATCCGAACAGGTGGTCTCTTAGCAACAACGTGCCATTATTCTTATGTGTTTCTGTCATATCATTGTGCTACAAAGYCTTGCAGTTGTTGAAGGGCGAGGGAACACAAGTGGGAGGAAAGAAAGAGACGGATCATACGATCTTTTGCAAACATGTTGATTTCAGAGGGAAGATGTTAAAAAGCTTCATAAAAGACCCTGAGGGATTCGATGTAAACCAGGCCCTGTTTGCTGTAAACACAAGTGGCAATCCTGGGGTCTTTCATCAAGGAGTTTATTTGGAGACGCCCAAACGAAAATGTAAAACGTTTACCTTTTCTGATCTGACGGGAGTCGGCGCCGCTTCTCGTGCAAAACGTAATTTGAAGGAGCGCAAAGTGACTAGAGCTCCTGAACATCSACTTCCAGAATATAGTGTTTCAACAAGTTTATACCTGCTGGCGCCTGGAGCCTTTAAATGATTGCGTTATCCTCTGCAGGAGGCGTCATAATTTTGATTGCTCGTGGAAGAGCAGATTTGTTCTCTGTGCGTTTTTTTGACTGCGATGCAGAGAGAGGACTACTGCTCCACACACCCACCTTCTCTGCACGTCCGGGGGCGGATGGTTTAGAGATGTCTTTTCTTTTACTCAGCATTGCTTCTTT